CAGGGAGCCCGATGTGGGACTCGATCCCAGGACCCTGAGATCATGACCTGAGCCGAAGGCAGACGCTTAACCATCTGAGCCACCCAGGCGCCCACAAACAAGACTTTTGTTTCTCTAAATGTCCTAAGGACTGGTTTGAGGTGGGTAGAAGTAGAAACAAATGCATTTGAAATTTTGCACATGAGTGCTTTTTCTTTTTTACCTTCAATTAGTTGCAGCAAATTTGATCCACTCTGACGTTCAGAGCACCTACTGTGTATAGCACTTCACAAGGTTTAAAAGGAAAACTAAGAGGTCTTAGAAGACATAAAAATCACTGTGATCCAAGTCAAAATGGTTTGTTACCAAAAAATTAGTGCAGAAAAAAAGGTGGGTGTCACTCGGGGTGGTGGAGGTAAAATGTGGGACCTGGAAGGACTACCTGGCTGATTGCAGCTGGTGAAGCTGGGAGGAAAGCATTCCAGGCAAAGGGGAAGAAACAGGCGAAGACACAGGCAGGAAGGCAGCAGTGAGAGTTCTGAGTGCCAGGGAAAGGAGGCGAGCTATGGGTGTGGGTGGACAGTGTAGAGGGAGAATAGGCTCAAGGCGAAGTTGGTGTCTCCTCCACTAAAGTAATTTGGAAAAAACAAACAAACAACCCACTCATATGGGAAACCTTAAATAAAAGTTACTGTGAAAACGTATTTGTCAGGGATCTGAAGCCAGAAATGGAAAGTCATCAGGACTCATACATGGTCTCCTCTCCCCTCTCTAACGGGTCCCACGGGGGGGTCTTCCAAGGTGCTTCCCGCTGTGCTGCTCACTTCTCCATTCCCTTTAAAGCCTGGTCTTGTTTTCTGCTCTTGGGTAAATGGAGCCATCAGAGCACTTCCTCTCTCAGGTGCCACCTGAGGTGTCGGGGACAAGAAACCCAGCTGTCAGGTCTAGGATACCCGGTCCATCACTCCACAGCACGTGCCAGCCACGGATTATGTACTAAAGAGCAGGGCTGTGGCATTTGGGGAGGAACCAGACTGCTTTCTCGGAAGGGTTTCCAGTTGCAATTCCATACTGAACATTTTGGAAAGAGCTGGTGAAATCTGGACGTCTACTTAACACGTGCATTGATTGTACTGCATGCTAAGAATCTGGACTTTATAACCAGACGCTGGGAAGCCTCGGGAAGTTTCTGAGTAAGGCAGTGATCCTTGAAAAGATGATTCTGGTGGCGGAGGATAAGGTGAAAAACCTCGTTCAAGATGAGGATCTGGGTCCGAATTTACCCAGTAACTGCGGCCTGGGAGAGGACTTTTTTTTATTTTTTCCCCAAAAGAGGCATTAACGTGGGATTTGGTGGTGGCTGGCTATGGTCTCTGATTGGGCTTCGGGCCGGGGAGGGTCTGGCAAGCGGACAAATGGACTGCAGCACGCACGGAGAGCTGCCGGGAGGAAAGACGGTCCCGCAGGAAGGACCACTGTCGCGAGGGCGGCGGCGAGGCGCTCAGGCGCACCCGGCTCGGCCGGAGGATCGCTCCGGGGCGTCCGCCGCGCGGGGCGTCGGGAACCGTAGTCATCCAGCTCCTTTGGGTACCAGGCAGGACTCGCACAGAGCGGTTCCCTCGGGTTACAAATCCCACACCTGCCCGTCCGGGTGCGGGTCCTTCCAGTCTAGCAGGCGCCTGAGTGACGTCATCAAGGGTGTCACCGCCCCCTCGCTGAAGGCTTTAGGTGTCTATGGAAAGTCTGTCACACAGCAAGCCGACAATAAAAGATTAACTCCCTACACAGCACAAGGAATTCACCTCCGATGGCTCTGATCTCTCTGGCTCTTCCTTTGTGGGCGTCTCTCCGGCCACCTCGGCCCGGCTCCCCTTCCCATTCTGCTCAGGCGGCGCCCCGGGCAGGCCCACGCCGCGGCGAGGGGCGGGGCGAGCTCGGGCGGGGCGGGGTCCTGGCTGGGCGGTGTCGCGCTCGGGGGCCGCGCCGGGTCGCGTTTCTCTCTACTGCCTGAGGCGGCTCCGTTTGGGAGAGCCTTTCGCCAGCTCCACGGGGACCTCTGTGCACGGATGGACCCGCCCGGACCCGGCGGGAAGCGGCCTGGCAGGCGGCGGCCCCGGCGGTGTCAGCAGAGGGAGGACAGGGCCGAGGCCGCGGGTCCCTGAGGCGCGCGGGCCCACAGGGCTCGGCGTTGGCACCATGATGCCGGGCGAGACTCACTCGGCGGCGCCCGGGACGGCGGCGGACCTCTCGCGGTGTCAGGGCTGCGCCTCCCTGCAGCAGGTGCGGCGCCTTCCCGGGCCGAGGGCGCGGAGGAGCTCAGTTGGCCGGCCAGGGCGCGGGGCTGGGGGTCCGGCCGCGCGGGCTGCGCCCCCGCGCGCTGCTCCCACTCCGCGGCGGAAGCTCCCCCTCCTCCCCTTCCCACTCCCCTTTCTACTGCAGTGGTTTGGGGGAACCGCCTCTTTTGTTTTATTTAGGCCTGTGACCCAGGACTCATTTGCCGTGATGCGGCGGCGGTGGGGGGGCGGAGCGAGCGAGTTCTGGAGGGCCCCTGCACTTACCCAGTCTCAGGGCTCCCCAGGGCTGATTTTGAGGTTGACGAGGGACGGGTGAAATGCAGAGGGAAGCTGCCTCTCTGAGGAATGAGATTTTCGATTGCTCTGGCTCATCCTGAAATATTTTTTGCCTGGAGGCGCGACGTGCGGGTTGGCTGGAGGGTCGTCCATCCATTAAAGGCTTGCAGTCACTGGAAGTTTCTAACAGCAGAATGGACTGTTGTCTGCAGTGACAGAAGAGGCGTTGCTAGTGTCTGGCTCCAGGTCTTGTGAGGTAGTGGGGATAGTCCCAGGTACTTGTTTCCGGCTAGACCCTCTTTGCTGTCTGATGTCGAGAGTTTCTTAACTCCTAGGGTCAGTGCCTTTAATGGCAAAGTGGGACATCACCCCACCTCCTAGATTGAATTAAATTAGCACCATTTCCAGCGTAGTGTTCTAGGCACCAGGGTCACGGTGGTGAACCAAGTAGACGATCTGTTCTTAAAAGTAAGACACGCGTCCACGTAAGACTTTGGGAGGTTTTAAGTATTCTGAAGCAAGTAAAGGAGGAGTTGGAGTGGTGCTCTTGGCTGGGTTGGTGGGCAGGATGTTTTTGGGGAGGTGAGGTAGGGCGATCTGAACGGTGAGCAGAAGAGGTGTGGGAGGAACTTCCTCCATGGAGGGATTAACAGGCGGGAACGTTAGGAGGTGAGGAGGAGCAGGGTGCCTCTGAGGAGCGGAACAGTGTCTGGCTGACATGAGCTCAGAGCAGAGGGGAGATCAGAAAGGAATGTAGGCCACAGGCCATCCAGATAAGCTTTTTTTTTTTTTTTAAGGGCATTATCTAGGAACTGATCCCAAACGTTTTAAGTGTTGAGAACAGGGGAGAGAGAAAGGGATCATGCACTGGCATTCTGGATGGAAGGAAAACGGAGAGTTAAATCATCGAGTTGAGCTGCACTATATAGGCATGTGTAACGTGCTTTATTTTTTTTTCCCTTAAAACCCCAGGAGCATGAGTGAAGTTCTCTTGAATCTTTAATGAATTGTATTTATTCTTTGTGCCAATTTCATCTAACAGGTATTTGTAGGTCATGTGCTGTGTTTTAGGCATTGTGATTATAGCAGCAGGAAAAAAGGCCAACATCTTTGATCTTTTGGAGCTTCCATTCTAGGAGGGGGGAGGAGACAGATTAAACAAGTTGCATGAGAAGATAATATGGTAGAGAATAATTAAGCAAAGAAGGTGGAAAGGACAAATGGGCGAGGAGGGGCCTGCTGGCTGGTGGAATTTATGTGGGAAGTCCTTTCTGAGAAGGTTGTATTTGAGCAGAGGGCGTGACAGAATAAGCTTTAAGATACTTCAGGAGGGACTGTCCCATACAGTGGGAAGATCAGGTGTGGAAGCCTGACACAGGGGCCTGCCTGATGTGCTTGGGAAGGCGGCCATCGTGGCCGGGGTGGAGTGCATGTAGATGTCTTAGTCTGTGCTGGGTGGCTATAACAAAATACCATAGACTGGGTGGCTTATAAACAAGAGGAGTTTATTCCTTGTAGTTCTGTTAACTGGGAAGTCCTAGATCAATGAAGCACGGGCACATTTGGTGTCTGAGGAGGGCCCGATTCCTAGTTTGTGGCTGTTTTCTCGCCCTGTCACCTGGTGGATCATCTAATGGAAGGGTGAATCGAGCTTTCTGGGGTCTTTTGTAAAGGGCACTAATCCCATTCATGGGGGCTCTGCCCTCCTGACCTAATCACTCCCCAGAGGTGTCACATTGGGGGTTAGGTTTAAACATACAAATTTGGGGAGGGGGGCACAAACACAATAGCCAGGAAGTCCGATGACATCAGTAAAAGAAGGGTCTGATTGTGTGGGCCCTTAGAGACCATCAAAGGATTTTGGCTTGAAAGGCTAGTGAGTTGTGGCTTTTACTCTGAAAGGATAGTGAGTTGATGGGGGCCTCTGTGCAGGAGAACAGCATGAGTTATACTTTTCAGTTGTGGATCTCGTCTTTCTCTAGAAACCTGGTCTACCCATAGTAGTCTTCATCTTAGCTAAAAGTAGCACCTGACCGGAAACTCGGTGTCATCCTTGGTTCCTGTCTTTCTCTCGCATCCTGACCCCACCATCATGATCCGCCTCAACCCCCACTGGTCCCCGCTGCTTCCAGCCCTGTGTGAACCCAGTGTGCTCTCTGGCCTAGAGATTCTGGCTCCAGTCTCCAGAGAACCCCCCCTTTTCCACCCTTGCCGCATTCCTACTAGTGGTTCTCAGAGCAGCAATAGGAGGAATCCCGTTAAATTCTTCAGGGGTCTGCAGACTTGTTCTGCAAGGGGCAAGATCCTCAGATGGAGGGCTTGTGGTCTGTTCGCAGGTCCTCTACCCATTGGAGGGTACAAGCAGCGCAGGCAGCAGTCGAGGGATGGGCCTGGTTGGGGCCTTTGCAGACCTCTTCCCTAGGTCAGAACACTCCACTGCATTGGGGTGTTTGCCTGGAATGGCGTTTTAGGGGAAGAGGATGATTAGTCACGTGTAGAATCTTGAATGAGTCTTTAATTTTGCAAAGGAAGGCTGGAAAGATAGGTACATGGCAGATTATTGAAGATCTTGAGTGGTAACCACCAAAAAAAAAATATACTTATTTTTGTCAGGGTTACGGAGTAGAGAGAGGTTCTGCACAATTACCACATAAGAGTGGTGTTTTTGGTAAAAATGGCAGGTGGTGGTGTACAGGTCGGATTGAAGGAGGTGCAGCTAGCTCTGGAACGTTATTTTACTCATGCACACTAGTGATAACAAAAGCCTGGGTGAAGTGAAGCTTCCCAGGAATGGGAATAAAAAAGCAAAACGGTCTCAATATGAAAAACTACGAAGAACAGGTGGATTTCGGATCTGGGGAATAAAAGATCCAGCGATTAAAACCCGAGTCACTGAGAACTGTTAGAGGGAAGAGAAGTGGAAACCGAGACACATGAGGTGTTGGAAATGTGGGATCGAAGTTCTGGAATGAGGTCAGAATTGGGAATTTTCAGCGGCTTTCACGTTTGTCGTTTGTGGAACACAGGCCTCCAGAGCACCTGATGGCCTGCTGAGAAGATAGAGCAGAGGCCTGGGTGGGTTGGCGCGGAGTGCCTTGTAAGAATTTTTTGGGGGGAGAGATGGTGATAGGAGAATGGGGGAGCACATTCTGTCACTTGAAGAGATTTTGAGAACCTTTGTGACACGGTATGAGATGAGGTGCCGTTCTCAGGAGTCAGTGAAGGAGAAGCTGCTGGCTACTGATGGAAGGCGGGCGTGGATGGTGAGGAAAGGAAACACAGTTAGGGAAACAAGAAGCGCCTAGGAAATGAGGGTGGGAAAGATCGAGAACGGAGCAGACAGGGATCTGTCAGTCAGGATACCTCACCTTAGGATTGGGTGCTGGGTTCCCTACTTGAGAGACACTGTGTCAGAGAGCCTAGGGGGTGCCCTGCACAGGGAAGGTGGCCTGCTGGGTGGTTTCGCGTGGGCACCTCTCACCTGGCCGAGAACGGGCAGGCAGGCTGCAGGTGTCTCCCCACTGGAGGTGGTCGTGGCCATGCTGGGCTTGTTCTGAACCACAGTGGGAAGCTGGCTCTCTCCTGAGCGGAGCAGTCCTTTCCTCTTGCTGCAAATCTTCTCCCCTGTCCTCTTTGCATCGGTGTTGACAAATGGGTCTGGCTGTGATCATCGCTCCATTCGCAAGTGTGTGGATTAACCACGCGTTAGGTATCCTTTGTTTCGTAGTCCCACAGCCCACCTCCTGTCTGTGCCCACCCTCAGTGGTGGTGGTGGTTGGTCACTGAGCTCCAGCCCAAGGTCCCTGTGGGTTGCCAGACTTGAGTAGTCACATCAGAGCAGCGCGGGTCCTTCCTGTGGTGAGAGTGTGCACTTACACACTTCTTAAGCTGAGTTTTCAGTCCAGCGGCACAAGTTGCTCTGTTCTGGTGGAGGAGAGGCCCCTCTTCACCAGTTCCATTCACTGCAGAGCAGAACAGTTTAACCCTTGGGGGCCCTGTGAGAGTTCAGAGCTCGTGGTTATACTTTTGAGCTCATGCCACTACAGTAGGTTCAGAATAGATGGTGTTTGGCTGCCCTTGGCGCAGATTTGAGCCTGTTATTTATATAAGCTTGTGTTGGGCTCCCACTGATAATTGCCAGTGGTTTAAACTTCATCATTTGGAACCTAAACCATGACTTCTCTTAGACATACTGATTTGTAAATGATTATATTACAAAGAAGGCTCACAAAATTGTAATTCATTCAGTGAGCAAACATTTCTCGAGTATCACTGGGTCTAGGATGCCATGCTTTGTTTTGGAATACACTCATGAACAGAAGAGGCTTGGGGCTCGTGTTCTAGTTGGGGTGACAGATGGTGAGAAAACCACCACGGAAGGAGTATATTAGTAAGTACCATGCTGGGGGGTGCACAGGGGACCCTGGGAGCACCTAGGAGGGACAGGGGAAGCCTTCATGGAAGAGGTGAATCTGAATTGAGGTCTGTCTGAAGGGTGAGTCTTAGTTGAGGAAGAGGAAGAGATGGAGGGGATGTGTTGTGGACAGAGGGCACCATGTGCAGAGACCGGGGTGGGAGAAGGTAGTTTGTGATGGATGAAGCACAATGCATGAGGTCAGGGCAGCTGAAGACTAGGCATGTGAAACTGGGTCCTCCCTTCCCAGGAAGCAGAGCCTCTCAGCTTGTTTGGTGGGAAGTTCCCAGAGTGGA